TACTGTCTGTGCTAATGCGGAGGTGTGCGCAGCGCAGAGTAACGCATTGTGTGTGTGTGTGTGTGTGTGTGTGTGAGGGGAACAGGGTCACATCACAGCAGAAGTCTGTCAGAAATCATAGCAAGTCAGCTGTCTTAACTAGTGATGTCCGGTTCGCGAACGAAACGTTCAATTTAACCGGTTCTTCTTAGTGAACCGGTTGAACCAGTTCACCAAATCGGACTGAATCATTTGAAACGGTTCGCGTCTCCAGTAAGCATCATCCTAGTTTGCAGATCACTGCCTGTATATGTGTTGATGCTTTAGATACAAAAATCCAAATTGTAAGAAACGTATCAGATTATAATGATGTTTTAACTGACTGATGTTATGATTACTGACTTTATATTTGAATGTGTTAAGCCCGCGATAAACTTGACGCCATTACGTCGAGCGTAAAAGAACCGGTGAACCGTTTTTTTCAACCGGTTTATTGAATCGAACTATCCGAAAGAACCGGTTCGCTGAAAAGAACCGAACTTCCCATCACTAGTCTTAACCGCGGCTTGTGTCCAGCATCATCACTGTGTCTGTCACGCGACTCTGTTTCAACCGGTTTATTGAATCGAACTGTCCGAAAGAACCGGTTCGCTGAAAAGAACCGAACTTCCCATCACTAGTCTTAACCGCGGCTTGTGTCCCGCATCAGAAATCATAGCACGTCAGCTGTCTTAACCGCGGCTTGTGTACTGCATCATCACTGTGTCTGTCACGCGACTCTGCTGCCCTTTCGGGCTTGAACTGATGGTAAAACTAACGACATTATTAACTGTCTTGATATTTACTTTGAAAGCTGAAGCTCGCGATTATGGTAAGGGGCGTTACATTTCCGGCGCGTGCTTGCGGTGTTCGGCCAATCACAATGCACCGGGTCAGCTGGCCAATCAGAGCAGACTGCGCTTGTCGGAAGGAGGGACTTTGTATAAAACGAAGCGTTTGAGAGAGGCGGGGCATAGAGGACCTACAATAATGTACAGTATTTGAAAAATAATGTGTTTTTTGAACATTAAAGCATGTCAACATATACTGTTACACCAAATAATGATCTTTAAAATAGCATCATATGACCCCTTTAATATCAAGCCTAAAATGTGTTTTATGTCACTATTGTAAAATGTAAAATGTCACTATTGATGAGGATTGTGAATAATATTGGTCTTTAAATGCAAGATTTTTAAGTGTATCTGAAGTATACTTGCAGTAGTTCCACTATAGCAGGGTATTTTTATTATGTACATAAATATGTATATGTATTTGTAGCATACTTAGCATGAAATCAAAGTATTGCAAATACATTTTAGTATATTTATTTTTCACTAGGGTCTTTAATACTGGGGTATCAAACTCAGCTCGTGGAGGGCCATAGCCCATAGAGTTTAGCTCCAACTCTAATTAAACAACTGAACCAGCAAATCAAGGTCTTCGGTACTATTTCAAATCTTAAGGTATGGTGAGGTGTGTTGGAGCAGGACTGTGGCCCTCCATATGCTGAGTTTGACAACCCTGCTTTAATATTTTGCATAAACAACAGTACTGACCTTGTCGTAGTACCGGAGCTGGTATTCCAGGATGTCACCGTTGGGCCGGTCAGGCTGAGGCCAGGACAGCGTGATGGAGTCGTGAACTCGGTTCAACTGGTGCAGCATGGGAACCTCAGAAGGCACTGTAATTGCACATGTAAGTATAAGAGTGACCACACGGGGGCTCATCACTTCATAACAGCTACTTTTCTACTGCGCTGAATGCTTTATATATTCTCCTCCATCCTTATTATAAATGCTTTTTATTTGTTAATAGCGATAATACACACGTGGATTCACATGTAGGTCTAAATAATCCATTTGCATTACGCTTTGGTGCGTGCTTGACGGTTAGATAGACATTGCTGAAACCTCATCCGTGTTAATGAGGTCATGAGTTAACCATTCTCCACTCCCTCCCTCTTGGGAAGCCCCCTGACCCCCTTCATCTCAGCCGATGTCTCTGTCTGTTAATCAGTCATGTGGAAGCACACGGATAGGTGACTCAATCCTGTTCAATCAGCAGCACCCACGTCTTAAATAATGGTAAAGTTATGTAAACTAGTCATATACAGGTCTGCAGAATCCATCTGAGCTTGAATTACTAAAGGTAGAAAAGAGAGAGAGTGCGAGAGGGGGACGTCTGAATTGCGCCTTTTGTTTCCAAAGTTTCTGTGGGCTGCCACATTGATTATCCTCCCTCCATTCTCTTTTGGTCTCTCTTGTTGCTTTCTTGACCATTATATGAAATGACAGCATATCGTGACCCAAAGCCACCTGGGTCCAGAGAGCAGATGAAGAAAAATTATGAACAGAAGAGAGAGATGGATAGAAAGACAGACCGTGGGGAGGGGAAAGTGGAAAGACAGGGGTGGAGGACGACTAGACATAATGACAGACGCAGAAAGACATTGATACACTGAGCAAACAGTTTGGTGCACACACATATTGTGGATAGTCCCAGAATACATTTGCTTTTCTCGTACCTGATTGGCTGGTGGTGAAGTTGATGCTGGCGAACTGATGTGGAAAAGGGCTCAGTGCTGACACTTCATTTATAGCTTGAACCTGTAAAACCATACAAAGCTCATATTGCAGCTACGCTCTTCCATGCACATAAGCTGCATTAAGGCATAATAATGAGCATTGTGTGGTGAATATTTCTTGGGGTAAGTTTATTTTTGTAGGTCAATTTATGTATAGGAACTTACACTGCTGTTCAAAATTTGGGGTTGGTAGGATGTTTCAGAAAAATGTCTTTAAAGCTTACCAAGGCTGCATTTATTTGTTCAAAAAATACAGTAAAAACAGTAATATCAAAGAAAATAATGATTCAAAATAACTGTTTTCTATGTTAATATATGTATTGTAATATGTATAATGTAATTAATGTGTTGGCAAAGCTGAATTTTCAGCAGTCATTACGCTAGTCTTCAGTGTCACATGATCTTTCAGAAATCATTCTAATATGCTGATTTTGCTTAAGAAATATGTATTATTAATTATCAATGTTGAAAACAGTTTTGTGGAAACAGTGATACATTTTTTCAGGATTCTCTGGTGAATAGAAAGTTAAAAAGAACAGCATTTATGTGAAATAGAAATAGTCTGTAACCATGGAAAATACTTTATAGAGGCTTTTAATCAGTTTATGCATCCTTGCCGACTTAAAGTATTAACTGCTTTAAAAAGTAAAGACATTTTGACCCCTAAAGCCCAGTTCGTTTGACTAGTGTGATTGCTCCGTGCCGGTTCGTTTAGCCATCCCTGGCTCGGTTGTAAGAGGGCCAGAGCGCGGTTCAGTTGGGCCCGGGCGCGTTACGCATGTAGTGCCGGATTGCGTGTACATTTCTGAGCAGCAAAAGTGATAGATCTGTAAAGCAATATATTTTGAGAGGGCCGTTTTGAGTCCCAAACGACTCAAAATAATAAACCACAAAGTTAACAAAATGATGCACTCCACCACAAATGGTCATTTTGAAAAGATTTTTTTGTGTTTTAGACAACTGAATGTGCTCAATGTGTAAATCCTGTTATTCTATAATGTTATTCCACTATGAGACTCTGGGTCTATATGAACAAAGTGCCTGTAGGTAAATTACCTGTATGAGGTAGGTGACCCTAGTGAGCAGGTTTTTGAGGGTGACCCTTGTCTGCTTTAAGCCAGTTTGAGATGGGGAAAAAGTGACAGTATCTCCACACCAGGAACACATGCTTGGTGGCGTGTTAGTGGCAGAGGGGCAGATTCGACACACCACCCCGTACCACACTTCACTCCGCCCCCCCATGTTCGCAGGAGGTCTCCAGCGCAACGACACCCCGCCCTCTGAACTCTCATACTCCCATGACAGAGATGCCGGCGCTGATGGAGGGCCTGAGAAAGAAAACAAACACCGTCAGTGCTCACCAGCTCCTGAACCTTCTAATGATTAGCCTCTAGAAATTAGAATGGAAACAGAAATTAAACTTGGGAGGGATTTGGTTAATATTTCGGTCAGTGACAAATGAGTGCCCATGATAAAGAAAAATAAAGCCTTTAAAACATTTTTTTTTAGAAATGTAATTTCTATTCATGTCAGTTTCATAAGTTGAAAAAAAAATATTTTGAACAAAATGTTTTTAATGACTCATCAAGTAAACATCAAGTAAAATTAAAAAATATTTTACATCTTCATAATCATTATTTTATCAAATATTTTACATGTATTTTTCAAGGTAAATAATTTTTGTTGTTAATGTTTTATTATTTAATTTACAAATTAAAAAAATCAGCCACATGGTTCTGCGGGGGTCCTTCCTATGACATCATTTTCAAAAAAAAAATGTCTGCATGTTGCTCACACCAAGTGTCCTGATTTGGCAGACAAGAAATTTTTGAAAATTAGTAAGCAGTGAAGCGGTTTTGCTGAGATTATTTTTCTAAGATCATGCTTCAAGATCACTACTTAACAAGGTTTTATTTTCAAAAATGTCATTCTTTCAATGAGACTATTTCCATCATTATGATATCAGGACAGCCGTTTCATCCTACAATTTAATTTTATATTGTTCCATCACATCAAGGCAAAAAGTTACTTTCCAAAACCTCCCCCTCTCTGTTCCTCTCTGATGGAACAAGCTGCCAAGCTCAACCCAAACTGCTGAGACCATCATAACTTTAAAGAAGTAGCTGAAGACACACCTCTTTTGCAAACATTATTCACCCCACAGCCTTAAACCAATGCATTTACAAAAAAAAAAAAATATTCTCTGCATGCCTCCTCTTCTCCAGCTTGCTTCATAATTTAGATGTCAAATAAACTTGTTAATTGTATATTAATGCAATTGGCTCCTTGACAAATTGCTTTTGTTCCACTTTTGTAAGTTGCTTAAAAAGGTTTTCTAACTGCATAAAATTAAAAGCAAAATTGTTACTGTATTTTTGAATAAATTAATAGATCCGAAAAAAGTGTTTGATGTCATTGACCAAGGGGCTTTCACATCAGAGGAATGTTTTCATAATTCCTATAATTATTGGCAGAAGTACCTGCTTTTTCTACCTGCTATACCTGCTATAAACCTTTTTCCTAAGCAACATGACGCTTCGCATTAATTAATTTCCATCACACTGCAAAAAAATCAGCAAAAGGTTCACTCTATGAACGCAATAAGCATTTTCAAAAACTGGGCACAATGAGGTGATATTATTCTATCCATTAATTAACAATCGATCATTAAAAGGAAATTTAAAAGTGTAAAAGCATTGACAAATTACTTTCAACATACCACAAAAAACATGATTATTTCCGCAACAATATCATGCATAAATATTACTGTAGTAATATACTGTATAGTCTATATTATGTAACATAGATTGCCTTAATCAAACATGTTCATTAATATGAACAATTAGTGACAATAATTCAAAGTGATTTCCATTATTTGAACAGATAACATATATTGTATTATCTGCTTTAGAAACATTCCAGTAAACACTGCTAACAGGGATTAGAACGGAATAACATTTAAAGCATCCACATGAAAACAAACCTGGAAAGAGACATGAGGATTTGGGCAGAAAAGTGAGAGACTCTTAATGCATTCTAGTCAATAGTCATCATCGTACAGTCTACATGCATGTTGTACCCAAGTTTATTAGATCCATGTCGCACAGTGTGGTTTGCAGTGTTTTTATCGGATTGATAAATCATGCAGTGTGTCTCGGGCTTAAGGGTACTGCCCCAGTTACTAGCTGTTGTATGCCTAAGGCAAGTTTGCACATTTTTATGCTAGTATATTTACAATGCTTGTTTATCCTTTGTCTTATCTTCTTACATATAGCTAGTTGCGCTCTTACTTGTGCAGGCGGTGGTGTTAGCATCGGTGGGTGCGCGGTAGTAGCCACTCCGACATTCGCAAAGTTTAGACCCTTCGGAACTGGTTCTGCTGTTAGCTGGGCACTCTGTGCACGAAACTGAGCCGGCCACTGGTTTATAGGACCCGATTGAGCATGCTATTTAAAAGAGAAAAGAAAAACATTATAATTATGGCACAAGATACACTCAAGCTAATTGGAAAGTGTCAGATTCCCGCTTTGGAATGCTGTCAGTTAGACCAGGAACTGGATGCCGAGTACAGAAGGGCCATACAATGATCCAACTGGATGCAACGACTGGCAAATGAAATATAAACTGTTGCAAAGAGAATTGGAAAACAATTAGTTTCAAACACACTCAATTAGTGGGTGCAAATTTAATAAGCAAGGCTTACTGTTCTCTCAGGCACTTCATTTATTTAGTCAGATGTATAATTATCAAGAAAACAAGGAGCAAAAACATTGTCTCTCAGCTTGATTGTTGTTATTCTGACAGGATGTAATCAGTGAGAAATCACTTCTAGTTTTGTAACATGTCACATGAAAAAGACATAGATTTGAAGCTCTCCAGAATCACTCGTCACCTAATGATATAATTGCTATGACCCTGAGATCTCTGCTTGGCTGTTAATGTTAGGAAACACAGCTTCATTGGACTGTTTGCACTTGGATATGCAGCTGTGAAACAAGTCAACCTTTCATTGGAGATCGATTGTGACCCAGCTTGAAGCTCAGCAACGACCTCCATCCTTTCAATTGTGTGGCCACAGAACAAACCACAACAAACGCAATATGAGGTACACTGGGGAATCAATATGTTTGCATAACCCACACTGAAATGTCCAAATGAATCAGGCTTATCAAACAATATAACCGCTGAGTCACAGAAGCGCCTGTATTATGACACTTGTGACAGGAATGCTGTGATTTGTTGAAGTGCTTTGTCACAGAAACCCTGTGACACTGTATCGCTTTAACATAATTACGGTTGATAGAGTTAAGAGTTTCTGTTTCATTCTTGTCAGCCTCGAAGTTCTCACAAGTCCTCTACCCTTGAGTGAATAGACAGGTCAGGCACGTATAACACATTTAAAGCACTTCAAAGGGAGACAGAGAGAGAAGGGAAGAAAGAGATTTCAGTTTGCAGCAAGCTAAAAGGATTTTTATGTTCTCGCTTGTCTGTCAGATTTGATATTCGCCCCTAAACACTACTGTGAGAAGTGAGAAAGAACGAATGAAAGATGGGTGTCGTGAGAGAAAAGAAAGAGAGCGTTGTCCATCTATCTTTCATGTGGTTGGATTATATTATCCAATGTAGCTGTGACAAAAGACATGTTTTAGCTACAAAACTTCCTCACTCCTCAGACATCTCCTACACCTTTCAACATTTCTCTTTCTCTTATTCACACTCCCCTTTCACCCGCTTATCAGCCAATCGCTTTCTCATTTCCTTCTCTAGCGGTCACTATTTAGCCACAAGGCATCTAGTTTCCTCATAAAAATAATTTAACACATTTATGGCCGTTATTAACTGGCCCAGATTTCTTATCAGTTAATGAGATTGCATCAATTTGATACAAATGCTGATCTGCAGAAGGCACAAAAGGTGTTTTCATGACATGCATTTCTGGCATTAGAGTAAATATAAATATATATATACAGTCATTTTTATGTGTTAGATTTATGTGCTGTATCACGAACAATGACAAAATTATGCTATTCTTAAGGAAATCCACCATAACCAGTGTTGAGAATGAAGGGGTTAAGTGTTTTCAAGAGGCTGAAATCACTGTGGTGGCCGTAAATGTTTGAAATATTTAATCATAATGTTGTTTACAGCCTGTCTTTCTCCATCACATGACAAAGTGCTTGGCTTGGCTTAGATACTGCCAGATAACCCATGCTGATTCTAGAAAGCTGATTCTATAATGAATTTATAAAATTCTATCAAATTTTCTATCAAATGAGATCATAATCTCATATATTTCTCTCACACACATGCACACACACACACACACACGTAACATTTGTATACACAGACACACACACACACACACACACATGATTAAAAATACAGTAAAAACAATAATCTTGTGAAATATTATTATAATAAAATAACTTTTATATTTTACCATTTCTTATGAATTCTGCAAAACTGAACAGCTGTGCTACTTAATATTCTCACATACTTGCTAATAAATATGGTCAGATGCCATATAAAAACTGATTGAAACTATTATATAACTATATAATTAATTATATTTTGTTATACAATCAAATATAACTTTAGAATTTAACAATCAAAAATATTAAAAGATTATATCTTTATATTCATATTTTATCAATTATATATATATATATATATATGTGCGTGTGTGTATGTATGTATATGTGTGTGCGTGTGTGTGTATTAAATTTGAAAATGTATTAACATTTTTCTCCCTCCTATATATTATATTATATTATATTATCAGTATACTGAAAGTGCATGTTGGTTTAAGCAGGCGTATGTGTGTGTTTGACAAATCAAGAGAGAAAAAAGCTAAAGGCATTGCTGGGGGAGGGGCTGTTCATGTTTAAATAGAGCTCGCATCAAACAAAAACAAAAGTGATGAAAAATTAAATTAGGCAACGTGTTGTATTCAGAGAGGAACTGAAAGAGACATTGAAAAAGATGCAGATGAAGGGAAACTGTAAAAGCAAATGGACAGAGAGAGTGAGAGACCTCAGTGGAGTGTATAATTTGCCGTTGACATCGTACTTGGTATTTAGATCACTGACCCAATTTCTCTCTCTCTCTCTCTTTCTCTCTCTGTCTCTCTTCCTCTCGTGGTTGCTCTCATTCTCTTTATTTGGCTTGCAGCATTCTGACTAAAGCACACAGATGCACAAACACACATAAACACATGAACACTCAAACAACAAGCAGTGACTGACACACAACTTCAAAAACGGGACATAAAAAGGTATGCACTTGTTTAGTACTCTCTCTTTCTCTTTCTCTTTCTCTCTCTGGGCTGTGCATCTCAAACCGCTACGTAGAAACCACCCTAGGAAATACATTTCTCTATAATTAATCTCCATAATTATCCCATTTAATGTGAAATTATTTGCTTGTAATGCTCTGCTGGCTCTTGGCATTACACAATACTTTCGTTTTCTGTTAATTAGATTGTTCAGCAATAGCTAAACTGGAGACTGAAAGCTCCTGGATGTCCCATCTGTAGTGGACGGTCGTTTGATAGCGGATGATTTGAGTATGATAAAACTAAATCGTGGTTGCACAGGGAAAAAAAAATAAAAATCAAACACAAATTGCCAACTCTTTTGGCAGGGCTTTCCTCACACAAAACATTAAAAATAAAACATATCCACAGTGTGTGCACTGGAGCAGCCTGTGGAAATAAGCAAATATAGGCAATCTACTATCAACAAGCTTTTTTGTATGGTGGATGGAGAATATGCTAGTATTTATAGCAACCGTGCCAATATAATGTTTGTAACACATTCAGGAAACTCTCTGCAAATTATAAACAACCTCATGGTCACCAGTTACATTATGGTTTCATTCCTTTAAGAGAATCGTGTAAAACAGCACTGATGCCAGTTAAAATGTCACTGAATACCCCAGTGACTGAATGACAGGAATCAAGAGTCGCTTTTATGCTATTTGAATGGCATTAGCAACATAGAGGATATGAATCTTACATCAAATTACTGTCACCCCTCCATTCAAAGCTGCGATTTAAGTCAGAAGTGGGAATGAGTCATTCCACCTACAAAAACACTAATCTAACAAAAAAAAGTTATTTATGCGCAGAATCTGGAAGATTCTGTAAATAACATTTGATATTAGGCACAAGCGGATGAAAAGATGGATGCTAAGCTGTCCACTATGCAAAAAAAGTTTTCATGTGTGGATGAGCAGGTGTAATTGTTTCATCTGCTCAGTCATGCTTTAAAGACTATCGAATCTTGAAGGACAACTGAGGTCAAAGCAAAAGAGCATTCATGTCTTTGGGGGCTTTGAGACTCAAAGCTGTTGTCTAATATCTACACATATGTCTAGAAAATATTTATACAATATTTCTTTCAAATTTATCTGTATCGGTAGATGCTCATTGAACGCTCATTTAATCTTTTTTTTACATTTAGATTACATTTTCCATTATCTAACTCTCACTTAGAAAAACACTCTTTTAATAACTCTATTAAATCTTTAGCAGATCTTAAAATTAGTATCCATTTTCATACTGAACATTATAATGTGATGCCCAAATTCACTTGCAGCATTTAAAGTACTTATTTTAGATTTTAGTGTTTAATTTTATATTTATTTAGGCAAAATAGCATTTTTAATATTCACTTCTTTATTTATTTATTTTTTTTTTAACAATCATTCATTTTTTTTGTAGTAGCTTTAATAAAGATATTTATTAATTTTGGCAATTGTAAAAACAATTGAAGAAAGCTATAGTCTTGACTAGACAGCAAAAAAATGCATCATAGGTAAAAATAAAAATATGAAATAAGCTAATACAAAGGTGTGAGGTTGATGCTTAAAAGAAGAAAATTATATCTCAAGACTTAGCCTTAAGTCTTAATATCTTAAGTACATTCTAATTCAAATCTGTAGTTTTAATTCTAAAGTAATTTATCCTGCTTAATGTTTTGTGCAATGACAAAAATGTTAATATAATACAAATAACTATATATATATATAAATATATATACAAACTGACAATGCGCTGACAGACCAGACAGAGCAGGTTACTTTAGGTATGAAACACAGTCTCAGTTTTCACATTTTGATCAATTTAGGCCAATTCACATTCTTGTCACTTAAGTTACCAAGCTCTGATAGCAATACAAGGCAGAGGGAAGTTCAAATCGGTTTGCTGCTAAATGTGACATTATCAAATTTGAATGTAAATGAAATATGGAACACCTGCACTCAAGAATATACATCACGTAACACATCATAGCACTGTTGTTCCACACACGACTCCATCTGTCCATCTCGCATGTTCTGTATGATTTCTGCTATCTCAGTGCTCCAGTCTTTAACTCATGTCCCCTACTATGTCCTTCCCCCTCCTCTTCCCTGTGGTTTCTGTCACTTGTTCAGCTGAATGGCCATTAAATCACCGTGACCTAAATGTGTCACATCCCTCTCTTATCCCACTCTCTCTCCGTCTCCCCACCACTCTACTTTCGTCTTCAAGATATCCCAAAACTTCTTGCCTGATTTACTCGCATCGCCCCCAGAATTTAACCCCTTCCAACTCCCCTTCACTTCTGTTGCATCTCTATCTCTCTTCCTCTCTGACCTCATTTCCTCCATTTGATAGACAGAAAAAAGGTACTTGATGAAAAAGACGAGTTTGTCTTTAACATTCCCCAAATTCTCACACTTTTTGTTTCTCCTCTGTCAGCCAACAGACAATACAAAAAAAAAAGAAGAAGAAAGAAAATACTGAAAAGACGTGCCAACAAAATACCCATAGATATGCATATATTGCTGACAAAGTGACAAGAAAAATATGACATACACACAGGTACTGGCTGCCACAATGTCATTGATTTCAGGTACAACTGAAAAACAACCCGACCACAAATGCATTTATTGTTTATATATAAAGCTAATTATAAATACTACAGACTAACTCCTTTGAGACATTCATTTTTAATATATTTCAAAGACAGTTACAGTAATTTGTTCATACTGAAAATCTACACTATCATTCAGAAGTTTTGGGTTGGAGTTGGAACATTTTAGAAATCTCTTATGATCACGTAGGGTGCATTCATTTAATCAAAAATGCAGTAAAAATAGTAAAATTGTGAAATATGATTACAATTTAAAATAACTGTTTCTATTTTAATATATTTTAAAATGTAATTTATTCCTGTAAGGACAAATCTGAATTTTCAGCATCATTACTCCAGTCTTCAGTGTCACATGATCCTTCAGAAACCTTTTTTTCCTCAATAAACATTTCTTGTTAATAATAATGATGAACAGTTATGCTGCTTAATATGTTTTGAACACAGCCATACATTTTTCCCCCACAATTCCTCTATAAAAAAAGTTTAAAATAATTTAGAAAAAGGATTTATTTAAAGCTGCAGTCCATAAGTTTTGCCTCTTTGTCGCCATCTCTGTTTAAAACCTGCAATTGCAGTTATTTGTGGTGTTATTTTCTTTGCGTGGGTTGTGCGCCGGCATGGCTCCAGTACGGATGAATCTAACGTTTTTATGTGTGACTGTCTGTCACCGCATTGGTGTGGATTTTCACTGTACTTTGGAATCACAGATTCTGGCCTACGTCCTGGAATATACGGACCCAAATAAGCATTTTCACTGGATGTTGTCATCTGAACAAGTAAGTAACAAGTCTGCCAATTTGTTCTGACCAAGACTGAGGAAAAAAAGTACAATAATCGTGCTACCAATGGTGATTAAATCTAACGAGCCGTTAGCTCATATCACATCAAACCGTGCAAATTATTATTATTGTTATACTTTGTTCTAAAATTGTTCATGTTAACAACATCAGCATTGCATGATGACGTGTATGTAGTGTGTATTAGCTTTACATGTAGATTTCAATTTCTGTACAGTCTAATCTCTAATTGTCATACTGTTTGAACTTCATATAAAGAAATTATTTTACCCCAAAAGTAAATTATTCTTCCTTAGAATTGGTTCTCTTTAAAATACAAAACTTGTGTGATTCCACGTAGGCTATCTATAATCAGATGCACATTTAAAACTGGAATGTAATCTAATATCAGTCACATGCGTTGCATAAACATATAATCCTTTCAGGATAACAATCCGCCATCAAAATGATAAGTTAATTCAGCAGCTGATAATTATTCCAGCTGCTGTGAGAAAAGGCTATAAACGATCCGCCACCTGCAGCATCCTCACATGCGATATAGCCTATTAGCCGAGACTCCTTCTTTAAGTTTACAGACGTGACAACATGCTGCGAAAACTTACCCGTACCACTCAAATTAGAAAACAATATTATAAGCTTACAACTGTGAATCGGGATAAGGTAAGAAGATAGTTTTGAACACAGGCTGGTCATGTTGCTCAAAAATTGATTTCGGATAATTTTGAACCAATACAAGTTATGGACTGCAGCTTTAAAAATATTTTTTGTATCAATACAAAAGCCTTTACTGTCACTTTTGATAAATTATTATTTAGTCTAATATGAATTTTTACTTCCCTAACATAATCCTAACAGATAAGCAGATTTTTTTTAGCTTACCCTTTAAGAAATATTATTTAACTAATATTTTTCCAAATGGTGACTGTCGTTAGTTAACTCGTGGAGACAAATTTGTAACTTGCAATCACAAAACAGGGCACGCAATGCAGCACGTCTTTTGTGTCTTTAATTAGATCTGTGTTTATGGGCGCTTTCCCGCTTGTCTGAATACACTGTGTGTCATTTTCTGTCCATCAAATTCCGTTGATAATTAGCATGACAGGAAGCCCGCAGAGTTCTGATTCAAAGATAACTGACACAACAATGACGCATGCACAATGAAATGATAAGGTGAGTGAAAGGGGGTTTCTGGTTAGAAGTATTTGACAAACGTTAGTGGATCATCCTCAGTGTAAATGTGATGAGCTCAGGACCAGCCCAGGGATTTGTGGGGCCCCAGACGAGATCATGTAAATGGGCCCCACCAATATTGACATAGCCTAATATTAAATCTAAACAAAGTGCACTGAAATAAAAATCACTACAAATAAGCACACTGACTGTATATAGGTTGTTGACAAATAAAAAATGTTCAACATTAAGCTAAATTGGGTGAATGTATAAATAATGTATAACTTTTAGATGTCTAATCCCTATTAATTGTTACCTTTCAGCTTTTATCAATTCACCTAAATAGTAATGTGAGAGAACATATAAATTATAGATTTTTTTTATTGGCATAAAATCACTTGTAAAATAATTTTATTATAGAATTTATGGTTAAGTTTAAAAATATTTTTTGTTTTCATTTGCTGGGTAAACACATTTAATGCTTAAAAATTCTTTTTAGAGTATCTTACTAATATTGTAGGAAAATATTAATAAAGACTTTGCTTCGGTTGTGACAGTTTTTTTAACAAGTTATGAATGATTCAATGACTAACTCATAAAAAAACAAAAAGATTTGTCACCACCTACTGATGTTACACCTTTTTAGATGTCTAATCCCTATTAATTGTTACCTTTCAGCTTTTATCAATTCACCTAAATAGTAATGTGAGAGAACATATAAATTATAGATTTTTTTTATTGGCATAAAATCACTTGTAAAATAATTTTATTATAGAATTTATGGTTAAGTTTAAAAATATTTTTTGTTTTCATTTGCTGGGTAAACACATTTAATGCTTAAAAATTCTTTTTAGAGTATCTTACTAATATTGTAGGAAAATATTAATAAAGACTTTGCTTCGGTTGTGACAGTTTTTTTTTAACAAGTTATGAATGATTCAATGACTAACTCATAAAAAAACTAAAAGATTTGTCACCACCTACTGATGTTACACCTGCAGAATAAATCACTGAATGAAAGAATTAATAAATCTGAACAAATCTATTTGGTGAATGGTTTCAAAGATTTGAGTCACTGAGATGAATCAAAATCCACACCATTAAACTACAAGTTTGTTGACTCACCTAAACATGCTAATTCACTATGAATGGACTCGTATCCCGTTCTGACTGAATCAGTGAACAAATCTTTTTGGCAAATGGATTCAAAAGATTTGAGTCACTAAGATAAATCAAAATTCCCACTATTAAACTACATGTTTTGCAGATTTACCTAAACAGTCAAATACTTTATTACTGGGCTCCTATTATGTCACTGAATGAATCAGTTAATGAATCCCAACAAATATTTTTAATATTTAAAAAATTTGAGTCACTGGGATTGATCAAAATCCCCATCATAATACAACATGTTTTGTTTACTCACCTAAACAGTTCAAGCTATTAGGATTAGGCTCATATCCTGTCACTGAATTAACCAGTGAACAAATCTTTTTCGTGATTGGATTCAAAGAATTTGAGTCACTGAGATGAATCAAAATTCCCACCATTAGACTGCATGTTTTACTGACTCACCTAAACAGGCCGAGCCATTATGATTGGGCTCATATCCTGCATCACACGTGCATCCTCCAACAGGCACCAGCCATTCGCCTTCTGTGTTACAGTGCATTCTCGGTGCTGTCCCACCCTGTGATTGGCTGTGGGGTACACAAGTTCCAGTCACCGGAACTAGAGACGTTGGCTCCGCCCCTGAGGGCGTGGCTGGGTAGAAAGCCAGGAAACGACTGGTTGCTGGACAGCGACGATAAAATATGGAAACACCCATGAGTGACACACATGCTCCACTGTCTACTATAGCTAAAACAAACCTGAAAAAGACAAAAATAAGCATGATGAAAAAAGACAGGTGACAAGCTTAGCAGCCATCAAAACATCAGTTGAGACCAGACAGACTAATAACAGTTGTTTGTTTTCATATTCAAACCATATCAAGGTAAATATTAACACTGTAGCTGATATTTACTCAGCTGAATTGCCTGATCCTGAGTGACCACATGCTCATTTCATCTGCACACAGTGACCATCACTCATCAAAAGGTTTTGGGGAGACAGGGAAAAGGTAAAAGGCCATCATCGTACCCTTTTCGTGTGAGAGGAGCAAAGCTGCGGGTTTTGATGTTGATGCGTCGGGCGTTCTCAGATTTGTACTGGTGAGGTAGACTTGGCTCCACGCGACTGAAACTCTTGTCTGCTGCAATGGTGTCGATCTTCACCCAGCCCTCTCTTGTCTCTCCAGTGGAAGGCTAGAGGAGAGAGAGAGAGATCCTCAGAGAGCAGTACTACTACTACTGAATATATGTCTGTCATGTTTAAAATATCACGCAAAATTTTGAATTCTGTTATTTAATCCCCCTCATGTCGTTTCAAACCCATATGCTATGATTTCATGCATGTCAGATCTGCGTCATGTTCAGCAGTGACAGCTCTTAAAGTAATAGCAGCTAAATAACATAATAACCCATTGATAATAGTAATAAGAAATGTTTCTTGAGAACTAATTCAGCCCTGTAAAAAATGATTGTAATTTCAACTGTAAAAGACTATTAAAATCTAACAGTAAAATGTTTCCTTACTGTATACGAAAAAAATTGAATAGATCCAATCTTACACTTCATGTAAGCTTACAGTAAAATAGTACTGTTTACAATACGTTTGCGGTAAAGTACTGTCATCTAAACTGACAATCCCAGGATTCCCTAGGTGACACTTTACATTTGATATCATTTACATAATTGTGATTCTTAATGGTTTTTGTTATCAGTTATGTATATTTGGGTTTTTTGTGACAATTTATGTGGTTAAATTAATGTTTATTTTTGTATTGAGTGTTACCATGATGCTGTTTTGTAGATATGTGACATGACACAGATATATTAGTATTTACTTCAGTTTGTGGAAAGGCTATGAATATGGTGATTGTATATGTTACAAAAGGTACAAAACAGATTTTAGTAGCAGCATAAAAACAACAGGATTTTTATTTATTTATTTTTTTTATAAGCATTTACAGTGGCTGCTGTAAATGTATCTTTGTCATCACAGGAATAAATTAAATTTTAAATATATATTTAAATAGATAAGTTATTTTTATTTTATTTTATTCACAATATTACTGAATTTTTGATCAAATAAATGCAGCCTTGATGAACATAAGAGACTCAAAAAATTAAATGTACTGAGCCTAAACTTTCGAAGGGAATTGTATATATTATATAAAATATAAAACTATATTCCAAGTCTTCTTAAATCATAAAACAGATTTGTACAATGAGCACTGTTTTGAGTGTTTACTGCAGCAGTTAACAGTGGTGAATGCCAACAGTGCAATGTTCTCTTGAACACAAGCTCCAATTTAGCCCTTTCCCGCAGCTGGGGTGGCCTGCTATCCATTCTAGTGAAATCTCCAAGCAAAATGCCATCAGATGTGTCCCTGGAAGTTGGTCTTTCACTGAATAAATAGCAACATATGGGTTTGGAGCAACATGAGGGTGATTAAATAATATAACAGAACTTCAGTTTTGGGATGAACTATTCCTTCTAGGAGCTATTTTTAGTGCGGCAGCATTGCATTTAAAAGATTAACTACAAGATGGCAAAAAAGAAGAGATGACAAGGGCTTTACATAATGCTGCGAGACCTACAAAACTAAAGTTTTTGATTTACATGATGATGGACGGACCACATCACATTTCCCGAGAGATAACAACAGCTTTTATTTCTTGTTTTTAGCATTATCTTGTCCCCTGAGGAGTAATATGCCACACAAACCGCTGAGACTCCACATAACAGTGTCGTAAAACCACACTGTGTTTTCCTCTAACAAACACGACCAGGAAATTGCACTTGTAGAAGTTATACATCCCTTGAGGCTATCCTGCCCAGAAAAGTCTAAAGATATATTCAGTGGTGATGATACACATTGTTAATTGAACAATATAATAATAATGAATTTAGTATTTGATTTGATTTAAGCTATGAAAGATACATGATATTTTACATTAATATATTTTTCATTGGAAGCCTGCAGGCGTATGTCAGAGGTATCATGTAGGTTTCATCTTTTCTTCTGAGTGGTGCATCTGGGGAAGTGTAGTTCATACAATATACAGTCACTCAAAGAGCATGAGGGTCTTATTTTCTTTAAAAAACGAATCCCATGGATCCTCAGGCTGCATCATAACAAATCTTCCAAGTATGTCTTAGTCAGTCAAATAAAACAGAATGCTACAAGACTGAATGCTGCCAAAATCCTTCATATGATGTCTGTGTGTGGGTGTAGGACAAGGTATCCAACAACCCAGCATTTGATAACAGGCTAACACACTCATGTTAGTTTTATGATGCTAACACTGTCCTGCAGAAATGGGATAATTGGAAAGTAAGACTTGAGTTGTGCGCACTGAAGATTACAGACATGACCTCAAGATGTCTCCTAGCCATATGGTTACATTTATGGGGCATAGCAGTCGTTATAACTTGGGTACGGATCTATGATTTTGGAGATTATACTTAATCACAAGCATAATCACAAGTCCTTCCATCATGTCATATTATACATTAATATTTATTTTCTGATATTATTGTTTTTATATGGTTTCGATTTTTATATACCATTTTCAAGAAATATTTAAATGTAAGAAAGTGCAGCCATGAAGTAAAAAGCTATATTCCACGAGTGTACACATCATGATGATAATTTTCACAAAAGTTATAATTTATAATATATATTACAATACAATTTGCTTCCATAAAATGATGGGGTCAGTGCGACTTTTTTTTAAAGAAATTAAATTTATTAGGATCCATTAAATTGAATAATAATGACAGTGAAGAATTTACATTGTTAAATATTCCTATTTCAAATAAATGCTGTTTTTTTTAGCTTTCTATTCTGAAATAAATTCTGAAAAAAAAATCTATCATGGTTTCTAAATTGATAATAATAAGAAATGTTTCTTGAGCACCAAATCAGTATATTAGAATGATTTTTGAAAGATGGCTGCTGAAAATTCAGCATTACCATCAGAGGAATAAATTACATATAGTATTTCACAATATTACAGTTTTTGCTGTATTTTTGATCAAAATAAATGCAGCCTTGGTGAGAATAAATAAGATTTCATTCAAAATACTTTTTTTAAAAAACACTGATCCCAAACTTTTAAATGGTAGTGTAATTCATTAAAATCATTACATTTAGGGGAGTTTTTACACTTTACAACCTGAATAAAATTTGTCTTTTCATAAAAAGGTCAAATTATTTGATAATTTAAGAAGTTTATTGATTTTGACACTCTCCGGTTTCTGTTGTTTTTTGGTGTTAGTTGGACTAAGTGGCTTTTTGGTCACACCACTTGACTTTTTAAATATTCATATTTTAACATTTATTTTTAATTCAGAAATGGAAAAAACATGCCCTTCATAGAACATGCATATTCGAGCCATTGTGTGTGTGAATTGGATTTTTCCGGTTTTGTAATGAATGAATAGCCAAAGATAAAATTGAATATCATATCATTGACCCATGTACCATTGTGCTAAGCACAAATTTCTCAATCCTTCTTTAATCGCATTAAAGTCTCTGGCTTGGGCCTTAAAAATGATCTAATCCCTCATCACTCACCTCAGCTACCCAGGTTCTCTCCAGCTCTCTCTGAGAGTCAGCCTGTTTGTAGAACAGTGTCAGGGTCTCTCTGCATGTCGGGGAGGGTGAGCGTAGACTGGCACAGTCTCGAACCGAGAAACGCAGTGTCACAAAGATTGTAATATTTTTTTATTTATAATTTTATTAAAAATGTCCTGTGAGAGATATCTGTCCATTAGCTGGTGTGATGAAAAGTTTATATATCTATATACGTGTATAAAATAAGGTTATGGTAAGAGACGCTTCATATAAATTGTGAGATTTCCCAATGTAAAAGTTACAGTGTGCCACTTACAGTATCATTTTTAATTGTATAAAATATATTAAAAATAATATATATATATAATTTTATAAAAATGATGCAAAATGCATGGCTGCTAAGAAATATTTGTGCCCATTAGTTGGTGTGATAGTCTATTTTGCACACTGTATGTGCTATATATATATATATATATATATATATATATATATATACAGTATATATATTTATATATTTATAATCATTTGTGTGTGTGGTTTTTTTAATCCTTAGTTTACTTCCTGTTTAATTTAAGATTTGGAACAAAATGGACTTTTGGACCTTGCTGTACTTTAACAAATATTTAAATACCAATGAATATATATATATATATATATATATATATATAAACAATATTAAGAAAGCTATTGTCTGCATTTGGGACCCGGAGGTGATAATCCACAGCTCTGTGAAAAAACAAAAGATTATTTTTTGTGTGTGAAATGACAGATTGGATCAAAGAAATGCCCTGCCCTTTCCTGCTTCTTCAGGTGATTTAAGCTGAAAATCCCAGGCAAACCCCAAATCTCTCAAACACACAATACAGAAATCACAGACACACACCCTCACTGACTCACAAAGAGGCGGCGAACAACTGCCACGTTGAGAAACGGAGAGAGGATGAAGAAAATAAATACAAACAGACAGAATGACTAAGAGGAGATGGAGAGAAACACAACATCAAAAACTTAACATGAAAAGTCTGCTGGAGGAATGAAAACATTCGTTTAGAGAACTAAAAGGGAACGAAAGCAAGAAATGGGACTGAGCGGGAAGAAAACAAGATGGGGAGGACAGCTTGAGAGAATGAGAAGATGAGTGAAGGAGAGGGGGAGAAATTCAGAAAAGCACAGATGGATAGATTAACAAAGATATGTATGCAGACCAAGTGACAGACAGAAAGAGAAAGAGAGAGAGAGAGAAACTGAGATCTGGCATGAGAAGCTGGGACAGGAAGTATAGGACTACTAGTTCTTCTCTGTAGGTCAGAGACTCTGTGCTGCCCAGGGCCACAGAGACAGCAGATATCACGGTTGAGCTGACAGAAAATACACACATAAGAGAATGAAGGTATTGAGGGAGGGAGGGTTTAATATGCTCCATTTCCTGTCCTTTTGGAAAGGCGGGATTAAAACAGGAAGTACACACTCACAGGCCCACCGAAATAACAAACATATAAAAGAAGAGGTCATCAATAAGCTTCGAACGCACACAATCAATCACATCAGGATATTCTAAATCTGTCAGATTCATAAAAGCACCAGGGAATGTGGGCTGTTTTTAAATAAAATATGAATCTTACCCCTGTGTCAGGATATGTTGTCCAGCCTAGTTCAGTGGTGGACTCCGTAGTGTCCAGCAGCATAACTGAGAAAGACAGGAAAGGACAGAGAAGTAGAGAAAGAAAGACAGAGGCAGTAATTATTTCCATCATTTCTTTATTTAGATTAAAGCGGATCATAATCAGCATATGCATATTGAGGGGGACAAGTCCCATCCATCTAGTAATGAAAAAAGGACAAATTGTCCCCAACAATATTTGATATTTATAGCTCTGTTTGTTGTTAGGATGACAAATGGTTTAAATCTTAGCAGTCTAACAGCGTTCGTCAATGTCAAAATTATTAAGACCAATCGAATCAAAGAAGGCGGAATTTACTGCTCACAGATAATAAACATAAATTCCAGCTTGACGCTTTAGTCTTGAATTGTAAATGAGTACGAGGTACTGCCATGTCTGTCATGTTTATGTCTTCATGTCTCTTGTTTTGTAATTTAGTCATAGTCATGATTCCTTGTCCCTGTCATATGATTCTGTCATGTGGTTCCTTTAGTTCTTGCATCTTGTTCAAAGTCCCCGTAAGGCAAGTCATGTCACTCGGCGGTCATCTTTGAAACGCCTCTCGTGCATGCAAGTGCAGCTCCTATCTCTTTGAATGGGGAAACATCAAATTCTCCAAAACAGTTCGGCAAGCTTACGATTAAATTTCATATTTGAAATCACCACTGAAATTCTGAATCATAAATGTTGTTTATTTTGCTCAAATAGCATTAAAAAGCGTATTTTTCAGGCTAGACCAGCAGCGCACGTCTCAGAATGCTAACTGTATCTATAGCAAATGGGACTTCTAACGGCAGCTGCAATGACGCGCTTACTATACTGATTAGGGATTGGCTTATTTACTCAGAAGGCGGGGCTTTGTTCGATAGAGTGGCCATATTGAGCGTTGCAATTTTCCCAATTCAAAACTACGATATACGAGTGACACGTTTTGGGTATTCTATAGTCTTTAATCTTGTTTTTCTTAGGTGTAGCACCTGTTATACAAGAATAAGGTCTAACATAAGCCAATAAAGTGGGGTCTATATTTTTTAATCAGTTGATAAATTTTTGATCGAATATATCACTAACTTTACCTGAAACAAATTTTGCTGTTCTAAAAGTAGGTATTTGTGAGTATTAGCGGAACTGAAGATGTCATACACGTGACTGTTGTCATCTATGAATCTGGCCAATCGTGAAGCGGCTGTGTCATCATCAGAGCTTGTGGCCGCTCTGAAGAAGCTGCGCAGAATGAGTCAGCTGGCTGCTCTCGAATCACTCTCACAGTACTTTGATGGCATACGTCGCAGTGACGTGGCGTAGGCTTTGTCTCAAAGTCGGACAAAATTTCTAACCAGCATGCACTGCTTCAGGTCCGATACTGATCGGTCTGCGTAGCTCCGCATCAAGTTAAACACACCTAATGGCTCACTGTCATGTTACCTTATTATCAGTTCATGTTTATAAGTTCCATTCTGTAATTGGGTGTTGCTGTCATGTGTTTCCCCATGTCCATGCATTTAGGCCCTCATGTTGCCATGTTATGTATTTTTCCTTTGTAACCTGCTGTTACAAAGTTGGGTCAAGTTGTTCAAGTCTCTTTTTTTTTTTGTTAGGGTTTAGTTCTGTTTATTTTGTATCACATTTACAATTTTTTAATAAACTGCACATGGGTTCTCTACTCTGCTTGCCTTCAGTGGATTAATGTTACATGTAAATGGAATGAAATGGGCCAAGCCCTCGTGTAAAAAACCCAAAGTCCCTTAAACTGAACAAACCTAACTAAGCAAACACAAAACAAGCACAGTCATATAAAGCATGTTCACAGAAGGCCTACACCTCACACAAACACACACACAGCTAGCACATATACTGAGAACGAGAGTGTTTTTAATTCAGCCTCCCCCTGCCGTCGCCTTCAGTGGATTAATGTTAAATGTAAATTAATATTTGACAACTGTTAGGATACGATAGAAATGTTACATGAGCAACAGTAATATACAGTGACACAAACTACTCAACTTTTTATTCAAATTTAATCATTTTGAACTGAAAATATAATCATGAACCATGTAGCCTATGTGATGAGATTTTTTGTCATTTTTGTGTTATCTGAGTGAAGTGGCTTTTGTGCGGCAGAACTTGATTTTATACATCAGGAACTGATTGGATCATTGTCATACTAAAATCTTCAAGTGAGGGCCTGATTTTGCATGACAATGTTCTCACTTATTCGGCCTTGCTGAGTTCATACACTCCTAAAAGAACAATCTAGTTTGTTCTGAATAGACTTTTTTACTCCAATTAATGGATATTTTGTCACTATTTAACCCACAAAATGCTCAAACAAAATACAATGTCTTTGTTCAGTTTATGATTGGATGTTTGTCATTAAGTGGTACCAACTTCCTTTCAAAATAAAATTGTAAAACGTTGCTTTTTGTTGATAGCATGATCATCAGTTTTATCATCAGTAGAACATCACTCGAATCCTGATGTCATTAAAACAGCAACATACCAAATACTTCATAAATCACAATTTCCCATTCAGCTCTTCAGTCCAATATAATTGTTGATGCTTAAAATATAATTTGTTAAAATCAGAAAATATATTTTTTAATGAAAAAAGAAGCATTTCACTGGCGTCTCAGACTTTGCTACTCTACTGTGTGTCGGCAAGAAAATACAAGAGTGTCACCAGGAATGCGTTGTTAAAATGTGCACAACACTGGAATGCGCCTGTCAACATCCCATATGAAAAATGTGCCACAGGCAGAACTTATGTCAAAATGTTCTTTACAATAAAGGTTGATATGACCAGAATCGGGCAGCTAAGCTGTCCTTTCCCATCATATCATGTTTTCCCTGACATTCATCTAATGAACTGTTTATCACCAACAGAGAGAGCGAGAGAGTGAAAAGAAGCCAGTGAATTCTTATCAGCAATCCATCGTACTGTTTACAAATGAATTATTTCTGAAATGTTTCATGTTTATTTAATAGCACATATTTTTCCAGATGAGGGGAGGTTGAGCTCTGGCTCCTCTGGGGCAGCGTGAAATGGGCCAAGCCCTCATGTAAAGAACCTTAAGTCTCTTAAATTGATCAAACCAAACTTAGCAAACACAAAACAAGTGCAGTAATATAAAGCACATTCACAGAAGGCCTAAACCTCACACAAACACACACACAGCTGGCACATATATTGAGGACGAGAGTGTTTTTAATTTCAGCTTCCCCCTCCCTCCTCTATTTGCCCTTAAAACCACACAACTGATATTATTCTGTGGCTTACACTAAATCTACCCCTCCATCTCTCTCTTGCTAGCACATAAACAGATTTTTTTAGATTATGTTCACAGATGGGACCCCGCAAATCTCTCCGCCAATCTATCATTTCCCTGTCTGTCTCTCTCCATTTGGTTCTTATCCATTGCTTCTCTTCCTCCTGAAGACAGTGATGCCTTGGAGCGT